TCACGCACACTGCCAAAAAGCTAAAAGATAGCATGCACATTACACACACATCCCCTTCGAGCAATCAATAAGGCTGTCAAAATGACTAAGCAAGTAAATCCGAGACTCATGAGTCTCTCAATTTCTCCTTAAAATCGTGGCAGTATATGAGACATGACATTTTTTAATACGGGCTGCCGTAACGCGTAGATGTGGGTCCAGGACATAAAATACCTAGTTTCTGCGACCACTGTCAAACTGGCGTCGGTATGGGGAAGGTACTACAGTAGAATTGAAACTCCGGGGACCAGGCATTCCTCAAAGCTTTTCCATGAGCTCTGCGAAGACAGAAACGCAGCAGTCTGTTGAAGGACAGATACTGCACCTTGATCCCGGACCAAAGGCCGAGAAGGAAACAGTATTAATCCTTTCACATGCCGTAGCTTTCATCTATAAACAAGAACCAATTGGATATGATAACATAATCGTGGGTATCGTTAATGCCCAAACCATATCCCGATAATTTGACCTTTGTCATTGCTTAGATTAACATATGGTTATATTCACATCATGCTGAAGGCACCGGTTCCAGCTCACCCCCTCAAGTCAAATCATGCTGAAAACACACGGTCATTACTTAGATGGGAGACCGTTTAGGTACACTGGGTACTGTAAGTGACCTCCTACGATCCGCAAGATATTTCAGATTTACGTAACCTACCAAGCGTTGATAAGACATAAAGAACACAAAAAGCAAATCAATCTTGCGCAATTACCAAATCTAAGCAGCGTAGGGCATGGTCAATTTTGAATATATATATATATATATATATATATATACAAAGAAATAATCACACATAGAATCAATCAGTAATAGAATACGTTGATTTACCACATCACAAGAAAAGTTCAAATAAAATTCTCACTTAAAATTTTGAAAAACTTAGCGTTGCGTCTTTGCACGTTCCGATATTGTACACAGCCGTCAATAATAGCACATTGTAAAAAAAAAAACATCTTTCGGTCGACAAACAATTAGTTTTTTATTTTATAAGGAAAACATATGCCTGACGATGAATAAAGGATTATTCGAAAGTAATTGCATTTAAAAAAAATATAAACTGGAAACAACAGACAACAGTTTTATAAATGAGGACCACGTCAATCTATGGATTAACAGTATTTTAATGCATACATTATACACTACTAGCGATGGATGTCGCCAATAATAGCATTAATATTACTGATTGATTCTATGTGTGATTATTTCTTTGTATATAAATTATATGCTGCCTAATGTCTTATATATATATATATATATATATATATATATATATATATATATATATATATATATATATGCAAGTATAGGATTGGTGTATACGGAATAAATTCCAATAACCGAAAAATACTATTCTTAAAAGAGTGCTCAATACAGAGTCGAGCAAATATAATTATTTATTCGAAAATTATAAGATTAATATGTTATATATATATATATATATATATATATATATATATATATATATATATATATATATAATTATTTATTCGAGAATTATAACATAAATATGTTATAAAATCACTACAAAATAGCCATTTTGGTCATTCCAGCTTATGTAACAGCGTTTTGCCTAGCAAGGGATGTTTGATGCAGTTGAACCTTTTAAAAGCCTTTATTCTACATTCAGCACCATCACTTGAATAGAAATCAGACGACAAAATGGCTATTTTTGTAGTGATTTTATAACATATGTTGTAATTCTCGAATAAATAACCATATATATATATATATATATATATATGTATATTGTATAACAGTGAAATTTTCCAAATTGTGTAAGAGCATAAATAGCCATCCCACAAAATGTTTAATATATAAAAAAACATTAATTGAGTTTCTTTTTTCCTGGTTTTCAGATAAAACATTTAGCCATCTTGTTACTGTTATTAGCAAGACTCACTGAAAAACCATTTGTTTTTTTGTTTTTTTTTCAGCTAGAAAGAGAACAGGTTAAAATCGTTTTGTTTCAGTCCAACTGTCTTCCCAACTGATCAATATTAAGAGGAAAAAGAATCATTTAGGCATTCACTAATGTTACCAAAATTTATAATCTGGCTTCCATTTTCAAACTCCATTCAAGAACCAAGAACAGTGAATAAGTTTTAAAAAAAACAGGGAAAAGTCAAGAGGAAAATTGGATCAGGAGACCACAACAGGAAGGGGAATCATCATTTCAACTTAGAGCTAAAGAATTCAATTAGAAAAGATCCAACTCAATCTATAGGACGTTTGGCACGTGAGAGACGAGTTTCAGCTATGACAGTTCAAATGGCAGTTCAAATGGCAGTGAAAAAAGGCTTTAAATGTTAGTAGAATCCAATAGTGTTATAAATACCTCGGAGAATTCCAGTAAGATATCTTTAATCATTTCTAAGATATAACGGTTCAAAATCTTAATCTAACAAATGAATAATTTTGCCTTCCCACTCGGTATATATATATATATATATATATATATATATATATGTATGTGTGTGTGTGTGTGTGTGTGTGTGTGTGTGATAAAATATAGTTTTAAGATATGCTATATTTATGGGTTAAAGTGCTCAATATCAGGGATAGAGCGTATGTACATATAAAAATGGATATTGAATTCAACAGCCAAAGACGACAGTCTTTTTCACTCTAAGCAGAATCGTCAGCCTTATATATATATATATATATATATATATATATATATATATATATATATATATATATTCAAATATTCTTGGTTAAAATAATATCAACACGTTTTATTAAGTTTTTTCTAAATTTTTTTTTAAATTTCAGAATTATTCGTTTTATATTTCAAATTTGCAAAAGTTAGATTAGACGCTTGCAATTATTTTATAGCCTTTTCGTCTTGTTTATATTCGGCTGCATCTGGTAACAATAAAACAGTTTAATGGAGTTTTTTTATTTTTGTTTGTATCAATTTCGCTTCTTATATTATTTTCTTCTACATTTCCTTAAATCAAATCTCATTTCTTCATCAACAACGTAGCTTGAGAAATTAGTGTTAAGACTTTGTTTTATATTGTTTAATTTTTTATAAAACAATGTATCCCAAGAGAAAATCGTTTTAATACGATAAATCAAGTTGTTATATAACACCTATTTTATATCGGTGTGAACATTCTCCTTTATAATTACGGTGACATGAATTTTTCTTAGTGATTTCTTTTTCTATTAAAGTGATAGAATCATCATGATTACCATCTCTTCGAACATCCATGAAAGGGAAATTTCTTTTAATGATGATTCATAACTGAATTGTGAAGCTAAGTTACTTTCAAATGTTTTTTAAGTGTTTTTAATTCATCTTTGTTAATATAAAATGTCGTCAGTATATCTATCATATTTTGAGGGTTTATTGTGTCGAACAATCGTGGTCAAGATAAACACTCAGTTGTAGAGCAAGCTGAGTGATTACCAATTCAACATTGAGACAGAGAGCTATTTATGGTGCAATGGAGCATCTCATTATGCTAAAGTGGGATAGTCCATTGCTTTGGCTGTGATTGGCTGCTGGTACCTGAGTGGAAGTATTACTATATAAATACTAGCATGATTTCTCAGTTAGTTTGCAGGGTTTGTATTAAGTTACAACCTGCTTTATTTTTGTCTGCCAGCTGGACGCTAGTTTGAACTCTTACGCCGGTAAGTGCTTTTTATTATTGTTATTCTACAATTGAAATTATTAAAGACAGATAAAGTACGACCCAGAGCCGAGCCCACCGCTACGCTCTCAGTCTGTGGTTAAATGCTACCATATTGATCGTAAAATGGTCTTTGTATAGTGCAAGATAGTTTTTGAGGTCAAGTATTTGGTTTAATATTAGGAGGTGTTTATATGAGTTTGTATTACTATTTCTATGGTTTCTTTAACAGGAATATTAGTAAAAATACTGTCAACATCTAACGAGGCTAGAATACCATTTTATTAGAATGTAATATATCAAGGAAATTGTTGTAAACATAATCATAAATACTGTAAATAAAAAAGTAAAATTTCTTGATGCTCTAAAAAAATGAAATCAACCCTTAATAAAATTAATTATGAATAATGCACATTTTTTTTTAATTGAGTGGAGCGGGTTTCACTTGTTGCTCCAACCTCTGCGCAATGCTCGAAAAAATCAGCTACTGTGTCACCAAATATAACTTCTGGCATGCAAAAGATATCCATTAATTTCAGCTTTCAACGAATCGCACACTTCACTCTATAAATTCGCTAACTAAGCTTGTATCATCTGTCATGGAACTGTATTCATCTGTATTCAGGAACACCGCGCTTTTCATACTGATATCAAACTCAAACATCACTGTTTTTCGGAAAGACTGGGTCTTCATCTCAGCCTCGACTTGGAAAAATTCCACATGCAAATAAGCGGTGGTGGCACGTTACTCAGTTCATTAACCCATAAAGCGCTCATGAACATTGAAGAAATTGAACCTAGAATCACCATAGCTAGATCTAATGGTAACACTATGACGACCATCTTTACTATTCACCAACAAACTCTCGAGACGAAAACGAGGTGACAGTTTTACAGTAATAGTTTCAAATAATGTTTAGTTTCTGAGTTAAATACTCACTTTTCTTTGGTTGAAAAAAATAGTCTTCTAAAATGTTGCTTATTTTTTGTCTTCAGTGTTATAATCAATAAACATAAATGCAAGAAAACATATGCTGATATGAGAACCTTTATAATATAATCGAAAGCGATCTTTTTTAAGGAACTTATTTAAAATTGAACGCCCCTAATGCCATATAAGAAAGCAACAGTACCATATTTATGATACCTTATTATTTTGACGAAAAAGGTTCTTTCTTTCGCATTTGACAAACAGCAAAAAATCCAGTGATCTCGTTAATCTGTTATGAATCTTGAAAGAAGTTTTCCGCAACTATCATTTTTTTCATGAACGTTGTTTCATGGAATACTTCAAGACAAATTCAACATGTTGCCGCATGGGCCATAATGTCCCTATTTTTCTTCATCTTATTAAATGCCACGGCCTCCTGTCAGGTCTGTTGTCTAACTGCTGAGCCAATGTGGCACGTGACGAAGAGAGTAATAGACGATATTATTTGCGTTATCTCATGAAACAACATTACGCGAAAGGAGAAAAATACAGCAGCAGCAATAATACAGGATAATCCCTGACAACCCGACTAAAATGTCAATCCGGATATGAAGGATTCCGGATATGAGGAATTAGTTACAAAGTCCGGATAGGAGGGATTCCGGATAGGAGGGATTCCGGATAGGAGGAATTGGTTACAAAGTCCGGATAGGAGGGATTCCGGATATGATGGATTCCGGATAGGAGAGATTCCGGATAGGAGGGATTCCGGATAGGAGGGATTCCGGATATGAGGAATTGGTTGCAAAGTCCGGATAGGAGGGATTCCGGGTATGAGGAATTGGTTGCAAAGTCCGGATATGAGAGGTTATATTTAGATTAAAATATAAGAACTGAAATCAGTTTTAACATTTATTTTCAATGTTTTATAGTAAACAGAATAAGCTAATAGCGAGTGAAACATAACGGAATTGATTTTAAGGAAAAAAAAACAATTTATGTAATCTTAATGAAAATTCATCAAATTAATTATGCCACGTATGCAAAACAAATAATGTAACGAGGATTTTTTTTATCTGCTGTTGCATGATGATTATTCGGTCCAATAGGGCGACTTTTAATCGAGTAATAAATACAATAGAATACCTGACAATCGGACTAAGAAATCCTTCCGGATAAGAGGAATTGGTTTCAATTTCCGGATATGACGGCTTTTATTTAGATTAAAATAAAAGAACTGAAATCAGGTTTAACATTTATTTTCAATGTTTTATAGAAAACAAAATATGCTAATGTTAAGCTGGGGAATATGGTGCTTGTCAAAATATCCTTGACTAAACAATGCTGGACAAAACATGAGCACGGATTTAACCACCATGGCGTGACGAGACGCCCACACGCTACACACTTTCCTTCCAAGCACTGCTATGAACAATGACATTGAGCGAGAACGTTATAACTTAGTGTATATGCGCGACAGCGTTCACGGTAAATCTGGGCCAAGCGGCTTTACTCTTCGTACTTCAGCTTCGTTACCATAGCAACAGACCCTACACTTTTTGATCTAACTTCGTATATACATGAATTTTTAGCGCTTGATATATCTTGATATCTAACAGTTATTTTTATCGCTTCTTAAATCTCTATTGTGGCAGTTATATATTTCTGTGTTGTCGTATTGATGTTCGTCTTTTTCTTGTCCTCGCTACGATATTTCAAATTTGTTAATACCTCACTACATAACTCTTTATCTCATTCGTTATTTTCGCAATACTTTTCATACCTACATACCTGTTTCTACCGCATTTATGGGCACATAACCCCCTTGGGTTCGTAGATTTAATTCTAGAGTATTATGGATTTAGTCCAGGTAGAAATTCTATTAGTGTATGGCGTCTGTGTAAGCGATAGCCAACCAGAAGATCTTACATTTGTATATAAAATTTGAGAGGTATTTGTAGCCAAAGTTGGAAAAATATACAGCGTGTTATATGTCATCAAATTCGACATCTACATCTGTTTTTTATTCTATTTGATTGAGCCAATTTGTAGTCATTTAACCTGTTCATATCTATTTCAATGTGTTCATTTGATCGATTTAATGCTTTTTTTCTCTTTCTATCTTTCTCTGTTAATATCTTTTTTCACTGTAATTAGTTCTAATTCTTCCTTATTTTTTATCTATCTGTCTATCTATCTATCTAGCTAGCTAGCTATCAGTCTATTTACATCAATCTCTATCTATTCATAGCATTCTATTCATATCTATCTATCTATCTATCTATCTATCTATTTCTCTTAATCTATTCATATCTATCTCTATCTATTCATAGCAGTCCATTCATATCTATCTTAGTCAATTCATACCTGTCTCTATCTATTCATAGCAGTCTATTCATATCTATCTATCTATCTATCTATCGATCGATCTTAGTCTATTCATTTCTATGTATATCTATTCATAGCAGTCTATTCATATCTATCTATCTTTGTCTATTCATATCTATCTATATCTATGCAAAGCAGTCTATTCATATCTATCTATCTTGTCTATTCATATCTATCTCTATTCATATCAGTCTATTCATATCTATCTATCTATCTATCTATCTATCTATCTACCTTTGTCTATTCATATCTATCTATCTATTTTAGTCTGCTCATTATCTATCTATCCATGCATATTTTCTTTCTATCACAACCTTCACATATATCTATTTCAGTATGTTCAAAAATGTACCTGTTAGTCCGTTTTTATATATATATATATATATATATATATAATCGACTCTCACGTCGCGTTCGACGTATGAGGGTCAGGCCGATAAGTCCCCAGGAAACCGACATCCCGACACTGGCACATGAGATTTGTTTATAGTGGTGAAGGCCTTGTGCAGGACCAGCCACACTTTTTGGAGGGACGAATACAGAAACCTGGTGCACCGAATGCATGCCACAAGGTTCCCAAACGACCCTCCGCAGGTTTTGAATTCAGAGTTGTCCTTCTCCTAGACCAGTTGCCATCCAAGGCTATAGAACCCAGTCTGTCCTGCTATTTTACCCATAGGTGGAGGGAGATGAAGAGGATACATACCTTTCCCAAGGGTATTAGCACGTAAGTGAATGCAGTGGATTCGACTGGAATTCGAACTCGGCTCTGCGATTCCTCAATCCAAGCCGCTGCTCCACCGTGCCTCCTACATATATATATATATATATATATATGCCTGTGTGTGTATAAATTCATATTTGTCTAGTCTGTTTATATGCATTTCAAACTAATTAATGTGTTCATTATATCAACTCCAGTCTGTATATATCTATTTCACTCGGTTCCAATCTATCTATCTATCTATCTATCTATCTAAATCTATCTATCCCCATTTGGTTATAGAAATATGTCTATTCATGTCCATATTCCTACCTACCTAGTAAGGTCATTCCTTTGCTGTATTTTTCTATCTATATCGTTCTATTCTCATCTCTACACCCCAAAAGAATCTCTTTCTTATCCACCACTTTTTTCAGAGTTTCTCGCGTGATTTCTTCCAAACTCCTTCTCAATTCCTTTTCCCCTGATTCTGTCTTTGAAAATCCACATTCATTCACATCTTTCCCTATTTTTCCACGTCTCCCTTTACAGTAATTTCCCTGCTTTCATTTTTTTTCTTTTTCTCTGCCTTTTGTGAATCTCTCGCTTTTGTTTATTCTTCCTCTTCTTCTTGCTTAATTCTAGACATTTCACATCATTTTACCTATTCTCTTTTCACGCTTTCCTTCGTTTTATTTTTTTTTCTTTGTTAACCAATTTGCAATTCTGAAATGATTTTCTTCCTTTCTTTCCACTGCTATTTCATTCTTCTTTCTTCACCTGTTATTTTTTATATATATATATATACCTTTATTCTTTTATCCCCACAAAGTTCGCGCCAACCAATCGATCAAGAAGCCATTTACATTCGGGGAGCTATTTTTATTTTCTTGTTTACCTGCCTTCACCGAACACATCAAGAAACTTTTTTCAACTCTTTCTGGTCTAATTTTCTTGTTTATTTCTTTTATTTTTTGCTTTGCTTACTTCATATTTTTGTCCTTTCCTTCCTCTGCTCGTACACACACACACACACACACACACGCGCGCACACACACACACAATAATACATATATATATATATATATATATATATATATGTCTGTATATATTAGATGAAATCTGAATCTCATCGCTCCATTGCATTATTTCTTTATTACACTCTGACATTGTTTTGTGACGTACGGGTGCCTTTAATAATTAAGTATAGCTCAATAACTCAATGTTAAGAGAAAACTGTATTTAATTACAACCGCCAATAAATACTTGATGTAATGGAATAACCAGTCACCCCCATGAATGATTACACTATAGGTATTAAGTAACTATAAAGTCAACTGTCTAAGAGAAGCTCAGGGGAAGTGTGACAGCGAGAAACCTCAATCACGTCCGACATTCCAGTTAATGGCACTCACTACTAGATAACTGTACCGTATTTCATATTGTACTTGTTGTGTACAATAAACCTTCTTCTAGTATCCACCTGGTGCTATGTGTTTATTCCCTTAGCATAGAATATAACAGTGGCGATGAAGAAGTAAAAGTCAATCAAAATAATTAAGCATTTCAGTGAAAACCTTGTTAGTAGCGCGGCTAAAGTCCGGTAAATCCTAAATAAAAACCCAAATCATCGACGCACAATAATTCACACTAATTCGACTGGATAGTTCCACTCAATGATCACTGCAGTCAGTAGCCTGACACTGCTATTTATACACCTAGTGGAAAACATATATTCATAAATATTTTACTTTTCTTCAATTATCCACCTGGTGTTATGTGTTTATTCCCTTAGCACGGAATATAAGAGTGGCAACGAGGATGTTTAGAACGAACTCACACGGAAAATAACAGTGGTGATGAGGATGTTTGAAACGAATTCATACGGAAAATAACAGTGGCGACGAGGATGTTTGAAACTAATTCATACGGAAAATACCAGTAGCGACGAGGTTGTTTGAAACGAAATCATACGGAAAATACCAGTGGCGACGAGGATGTATGAAACGAAATCATACGGAAAATACCAGTGGCGACGAAGATGTTTGAAACGAACTCATACGGAAAATAACAGTGGCGACGAGGTTGTTTGAAACGAACTCACACGAAAAATACCAGTGACGACGATGATGTTTGAAACAAAATCACACGGAAAATACCAGTGGCGACGAGGATGTTTGAAGCGAATTCATACGGAAAATACCAGTGGCGACGAGGATTTTTAAAACGAATTCATACGGAAAATAACAGTGGCTACGAGGATGTTTGAAACGAATTCATACGGAAAATAACAGTGGCGACGAGGATGTTTGAAACGAATCCATACGATAAATAACAGTGTCGACGAGGATGTTTGAAACAAACTCACACGGAAAATACCAGTGGCGACGAGGATTTTTAAAACGAATTCATACGGAAAATAACAGTGGCGACGAGGATGTTTGAAACGAATTCATACGGAAAATAACAGTGGCGACGAGGATGTTTGAAACGAATTCATACGATAAATAACAGTGGCGACGAGGATGTTTGAAGCTGATTCATACGGAAAATACCAGTGGCGACGAGGATTTTTAAAACGAATTCATACGGAAAATAACAGTGACGTCGAGGATTTTTAAAACGAATTCATACGGAAAATACCAGTGGCGACGAGGAAGTTTGAAACAAAATCACACGGAAAATACCAGTGGCGACGAGGATGTATGAAACGAACTCATACGGAAAATAACAGTGGCGACGAGGATTTTTGCAACGAACTCACACGGAAAATACCAGTGACGACGAGGATGTTTGAAACAAACTCACACGGAAAATACCAGTGGCGACGAGGATGTATGAAACGAACTCATACGGAAAATACCAGTGGCGACGAGGATGTTTGAAACGAACTCACACCAATATAACAATACAAGAAAAAAAGAAGTAAAAGTGAACCAAAGACATTTAACCATTTCAGTGAATACCTTGTTAGTAGCGCGGCTCGGCTTAATGTCCGGTAAATCCCAAATCAAAACCAAAATCATCGACGCACAATAATTCACACTAATTCGACTGGATAGTTCCCCTCAATAATCACCTCAGTCAGTAATCTGACACCGTTATTCATACACCTGGCGGAAAACATATATTCATATATACAGAGTGTCACGTTCGAACTTTGCTGTCGGTAGTTATTCATCTCTTCCACTATTACACTTTCCTTTCTGACTTGTATTCTTTTCGCTTCCGTTGCCATTCTTCAAATTCGCAGACTCCTTACTACAACGCCATGACATAAGCTTACCCAACTAATCTCAACCATCTATTGCTAATGTATAATTGTAAACATAACTGAATCCCACAATTTACTGTCCTTCTACCATACCCAAATAAATTACATAAATATCATGGGTGCCTACCCAACATGCGTCGATTATCGAACTATTACAGCTGTATAGTGGACCAGACACATGTACTGTGTATTGGGAAAAAATTTAGACTGAAAGTATAGTGAATCATTAGTACTGTATAGTTAATTTGGTCTTCATTAACTATGCAATCCCTAGCCACATCACGGTGGGGGATTAGTAAATACTAAATATTTCGTATACATCGGCATATGCATTAGTTATAACAATTTAAATATATCAGGTGTAACGACAAAATTGTTCAAATCGTCTAGCAACATAATTGTCCATCCCACAAAATGTTTAATATCTAAAAATATCCTAAACTAATTGAGTTTCCTTTTCCCAGGTTTTCAGATAAGACGGTTAGCCATCTTGATATCATCTGTCGTAAGAATCACTGAAAAACCCTTTTACGTTATTCAACTAGAAGGAGAACGAGTTAAAATCGTTTTCTGTCAGCCGCACTGTCTTTCCAAATGAACAATAGTGAGAGGAAAAAGATCATTCAGGCTTTCAGTAATGGTACCAACATTCATACTCTGGTTTCCAAGTTCAAAGTCCATTCAAAAACCATCAAGAGCACGTTTAATAAATATTAAAAAGAGGAAATAATAGAGAAGAAAAATGGATCAGGAGGTCACAACAGCAAGAGGGTCATTATTTCAACTTAGCGCTAAAGTGATCAATTAGAAAAGATCCAACTCGATCCATAAGACGTTTGGCACGTGAGAGAGGAGTTACACATATGACAGTTCAAAGATCAGCGAAAAAAGACTTGAAAATGAAATCCTACGTGAAACGTATGAGACAACTTTTTTACTCCAGGACAGAAAGTTAGATGGTTAGAGAGGGTGAAGATCATCTTGAATAAGTTGGAAAATGATCCTGGATTTATATATAAAAATTTGTACTTAATTTCAATCCTTCATGAGCTTTTGATCCTTAGCTATGACTAATTAATGATGAACATGTCATTTCCGATTATGATTGATTTCATCATGATTCTTCTCTTAAGCCTGGCGAGTAATTATAAATTCTTACTGCTCACAGTAGAGTTCAGTAGTGTTATAAAAACCTCGGTGTATTCCAGTAATATAGTTTTAATCATTTCTAAGATACAAACGTTCAGAGCTTAATCTAACAAATGGACAATTTTTTTTTTTTTTTTTTTTTTTTGCTGTTACACGATTTGGACAAATTTGCTGTTACACCCAGTGTCAGAGAAAGAAATTGAACATAGAATATGTAGCGCCATAGATAGTTTCGCCCAATACTACAAGTTGCTACAAAACCAAAACATGAATCTGAAAACTGGAGTCATGTTGTTAAGTAACCTCGTCTGATCAAGACTTTCATATGCATATCATGTATGGCGCCAAAACCGTTCAGAAATATCTAAATTCTCAGCTGTATACAACCGCTTTCTAAGATCAATGGGGGAAAAGTCTTTGATGTTTTTCGCAAATTCATCCTTCTTTGTACATTCTGGACTGACGCTACAGAATCACAAACAAACAACTGTAGCAAATAACTGAAGCCACGTCATCTGAGGACTACCAACAGCAGCAACAAATAAAATGGATAGCACAAATAACACGACAAGAAAATAGAGAGTTAATCAAGATGTTAACATTGCACACCAGTTTAAACAAAATGTTACGAAGGAAACACCCATCAGTACTGGAAAGAGTGATAACAGCTACTGGACTTTAGAAACCTGTTTTCGTAAAAAAGGATGTTAAGTAAAATGTTTTATACATTTCAATCGAAAGTAGTAATGGCTGCTTGCTTAATGAATGACAAATGCTAACTTGTAGGGAGACGGCTAAAATTACGATTACCATTAGCATTGAAAATTAACTAAGTAATTCTAGATTTTTCTAGAGTTTGAAAACTTAACCCTATTACCCGTTAAAATGACGTAAATATCGGAGCCACATTTTCTTTTCTTTTCTTTTCTTTTTTGTATTTGATGTTCACTCTGTCCAAGGCTTGGGATCCACTCGAGGTAGAAGTTTACAGAATTAATACGGATATGTGGGGAAGATTACGCTAATCCTAGTCTTGGATAGGTTAAGATTGTAATGATCGGGAAAATACCCTCTTGGGAGTCAGTTCCACAGAGCACCTTTCGCGGGAAGAAGCTGCTCGAGTGAAACTTACATCTCATAAATGGATTACGAAGGGAATGTGGGTAGTATGCCCGGGCTTAGATGTGAAGGTTGAAAATGGTGGAACTAAGGAATATATTTCGGCTGAGCACTTTCCATGGAAATAGTGATAGAGCAGTGAGAGGCTTGCGACTTTTCGTCTATGAGAAAGGGGTTGTAGGGTGGGAAATAATGTGTCATCAAAACGCTTTTCGACTCTCTATCGAGTCTGGGAAAGGAAGACAGCGCAGCCTCTGCCCATATATGGCAGCAGTATTCCATTTTCAGCGTGACCTGACTGTTGTAAAGGTAGAGAATAGCAAGGGGAGTCAGACACTTACTTGAGCGGTACAGGGAGCCGACCGTTTTTTTTTCGGCATCTTTAGCGGTGGATTGTATGTACGAGTTCCACTTGGGGTCTAGGTTGAGCTTAAGCGTCAATAGGCGCTCAAGGCACGGGGCTTCCCTGACGAAACATCCATTCATCGTGATTGGTGATAGATTAGGGTCCGATCAGCGATGATGAAATTTAACGAGTTTGGTTTTTGAAATTAACCAATCAGTTCTTCACTCACTGAGATGTTAGAGTTAGGTCAGAAAAGAGACAGGCTGTCACATTCATTCACACAATACGAGTTTAATGAGCAACTCAAGATAGTGTATGATACGAATGCAACGTTAGAAAGTATAACGTGAATATTATGTGGATATAAAGTATAAGTAACGATTGGCCCGTAATTTGAAGAGGCCAAGATTGCAGTGTTCGAGGGAAGCAACCACGTGGGAGTCTGTTCCACAAAGTAGCTGTTATTAGGGCAAAATCTCTTTTTAAATTTGGAATACGGAAGGACTGAGTGTGGTTCAACTCCATCGACATAGCAAGACGGTTCTTAGTCGCAAAGGTCGTACTTGTGCCTAAAGAATAGATCTCGTCTGAACATATTCCATGCAACTAGCGGTAGAGTAATAAGAGGCTTTCGATGTTAGGTCTTTCTTAAAGTTTGCAGGGTGGACAATATGTTATCCGTAACAAAAACTCGTAAACGATTTGGGACTGTATGAAAACTGAAAAGTGAGGTTTGTTTAATCCCAGACGGGAAATGGGGTAATATTCCTTCTTTCTTTTTTTTTTTTTTTTTTTTTTTTTTTTTTGGTCTAATCTGTCACTTGTAAAGAAAAAGCATTGCAAGTGTCAATAACTTTCTGGAGCGACGCAATAAACCGAACATTGTATATATTAGTTCTAATTAAGGTCTGAAGTGAACTTGAGTTTCCATTGATCTTCGAATCAAGAACTGTCATTGATAGAGCAGCCGTTCAAAGTTACATTTTTGATCAATGATAATTAAATGACACTAATATGATTTTGTGTGTGTGTGTGTGTGTGTGTGTGTGTGTGTGTGTGTGTGTGTGTGTGTGTGTGATATTGAAAGTTCCTAGCCATTTATCCCCGACTGAGTTGGGCGAAGAAGGTCAGAGAAGAAACCAGTTTCCAGTCCTCGGATTCTCCTGATTTTTCGAGAGACTTCTATTAACTGTGATATTTACATAGATCAAGGGTTGCCAACCTTTTGGGAAACATCTCCCACTTTCACACGGAAAAAAATTCCACTCTCCAGCTGTATATAAATATTCAAAAGCATATCAAAATTGTTTGGTAAAAGTTTGTTACTGGTTCATAAACTGACTTTATGATGTAGTAAAAAGAAAAATACCAAAGGATGGTAACAAATAATGCTGACTTGTGCCTCTGCTGCTGATACTACCATATTAAATGCTAAATAAATGCAAACTCGTCCACTTAAAACTATGTATATAATTCAGTTTTAGGGTTAGGGTTAGCATTGTAACTGGTGAAAAAAATTAAACTATTTTTGTTCATTGTCATGAAGTCCTTCGTGTTACTACTCAATGCGCATGCGTAGTTTCTCCTCCTCCAAAAAATTGAATTATTATATAGCCTGGGTATATGTTAATTAACTAATCTATATATCACCATATTCATAGTTATAAATTAAAAAGAATATACACAGCGCGATGGGTAAATTGTTGTCATTTTATATTTTGTCGACTGCAGAGTATAGTAGGGTCAGTTGGGCACTATCTCTGAGAAGATAAATATAGTGAAATTTAGAAACGGCATACTGTACTGCTTGGCATTTGCGCAGGAAGAACAAATAGGGACATTTCAGTGTGTCTTGCTGTGAATATGAGGACAGTGCAGAGGATTCGAAAAAAGTTGGATGAGTCTAATGGTGATTACGAAGGCATTTCAAGTGATCACTAGTGATGGCGACATTGTCTCCATTAATCTTCCCACAGGGCCTCAGAATCAAACAGAGGTCTACATCAGGAGGTAGTGCTGCACTGAGTCAAGAGGGTGGCTGCAGGAAGACCCTATATCTGGCAACAGGACTCTGCACCATGCCACACAAGCAGGAGGATCCAGTCATGGCTGTCAGACAATTTCTACGACCATATCACCTCTTACATCTGGCCACCTAACTCCCCAGACTGCAACCCCGTTGATTATTATGTGTGGGACGCGAGAGACCAAAAAAACTCCTTGTAAAAACAAGAATTTACTGAAGGCAAGAATTATGGTAGCATTCACCAAAACAAGGAGTTCATCTAGAAGAGTTGTAAAAGATTCCGAAATCGTATGGAAACCCTGATTGAAACCAATGGCGATTTTATTGAATAAATTTCGTATTTCAAGATATTCTTTATAATATTGTTAAATATATCTGTTTAAATGAGATGTAAGTGTTATTTTCATTTTTGCGTAATTTAGACGGCAATTTATCCATCACAATATATATATATTGGATTTTAAAATTGCCAGTTTTTAATTTTAATATTAAATTTTATCATATAATTTTATAATTATTGGTTAGTATAAATTATTTTAATATTACACGTATTTTAAAGATCTGAATAGCTATTATAACATGATTTCGTTGTCAAGCTTTTGAATCTTTCTATACTTGGTTTTTGATTGGTTATTCTAGCTTTTGTAACAATGTTTCCCCCTAGTGTAGGATCGTTAATTAATCTGAAACTTTTAAAACCATTTACTTTATCTTCAACATCATCACTTGATAAGACACCGAGTGTGTTGAAACAAAATGGCTATTTTTGTAGTGATTTTATAACATACTTATGTTATAATTTTTTTATAAATAATAATTATATATATATATATATATATATATATATATAATGAAAAGTTTGGTAATCCGGATGGATAATACTAAGGAGGGTGTAATCCAGAGAGCTCAATGTCAAACCAGAGCAAATATTAACGTAATTAGAAAACAGACAACCTTAAGGGTCCATTGATTATATTTTATTTCCCCGGGAAGATGTTTTTTTCATGGTTCCTCAGATCGCATTTCCAAGCAGAAAAATGGTTTTAAATTTACGCATTATTTTTGTCTGTTTTCTATCTAAATTTTTATATATATATATATATATATATATATATATATATATATAATTTATTTTATTTTTTTCAAAAAAATACACTTTTGTTTGTGATGATTTAAAACGCTGTGGAGTGCGGGTGGTGTAAGGAATACTGATAGAGATAGTCGAACCGTCGAACCGAGTTCAAATTCCAGGCTCGTTTGTTGAGTTCACTTTCGCGCAGATACTTTGGAAAAGGCATGAATGTTTCTTTTCTAACCCCGGATACCAAAGCTAGGGGATAAATATTAGGAGGGAGTGGGCTCTCTAGACTTGGTTACCAACTAGTTTAATGGAAAAAAAAACTCTCTTTGGAATGTCAGGATTATCTACGTCCTGGAAGGATACAAAATTAAAAATGGTTTTGGAAGTACCGGGAACAGTACATGCGAATCTTTTTTTTTTTTTTAGTTTTTTGTTGTTTTTTTTTTGTTTTTTTTTTGTTTTTTTCGAAGTGGGGTGCTTTGTTTTTTTCGAGATGATTTTTGCATTTCGTTAAAAGCGTCGACAAAAATTGCGTTTTTTTTTTTTTGCGTTTTTTATAGAAACTTGCAGTGCTTTGAAGCAAATTCAGGTCGACATAAAGAGGAACGGTCAGTCACTATTGAATTTGCAAAGTGGATAAAGTATTCTTCTTTTAAGTTATGCTTTCCTCCTTCTTTCATCTTACCTTCTTCGTCGGCCATTATTCTTTCTTTCTCTCTCTTCGTTTACAGTTACCATCTTTCTTTCTCTATCGACCCCCATTCCTCAATCACGCTCTTTTTCTCTTTTAGTTGTTCTTCCTTTTAGTTTCATTTCACTTCCCACGGGTTTGTTTTTTCTCTTTCCTTCTTCTTCTTTTTCTTAATCTTTTTCTTTTTCTTTCTTCTTCTTCATTTCCTTCTTCTTCTTCATTTCCTTCTTCTTTTTTCTTCTTCTTCTCCTTCATTTCCTTCTTCTTCTTTTCCTTCATTCCCTTCTTCTTCTTCTTCTTCTTCTTCTTCTTCATTTCCTTCTTCTTCTTTCCCTTATTCTTCTCCTTTTCTCTTCTCCATCATTTCTTTCTTCTTTTTCTTCTTTTTCTCCTTCATTTCCTTCTTTTTCTTCTTTTCCCTTCTTCTGCTTATTTTTTCTTCTTCGTCATGTCATTCTTCTGCTTTATTTCCTTCTTCTTTGTCTTTTCTTTTCTTTTTCTCCTTTTTATTCTTCGTAATCTTTTCCTTTCTTTCGTCTTTTTCCTTCATTTCCTTCATCTTTTTCTTCTTTTTTTTTGCTTCTTTTTTCTTCTTTTCCTCCTTTTTTCCTTCTCTCTCATTTCCTTCTTCTTCTTTCTCGATGTTTCCATTATTATACGTAATAAATAAAGGCTGGGAATTAGAAATCGGAGAGCCAAGTTCGTATTTCACTCGGGTTCGTTACACAATAACAAAGAACTGTTACTGCTAATAGTGACTATTACGGTTAATAATGCATATTATAATGTCTAATGGAGCTGAACATTATTTTTATGTTTAGATGCATTTAAACTGATCAAATTTTATTTCAGAGAACAATAAAATTAAATTTTGTTTGATTAAAACCCTGCTAACTAATCAAACAAAATTTAATTTTATCCTGCTAACATGGAAGTACCCAAGAATCATTTGAGGTACATACTGCTTTATGAGTTCAAGAAAGCAAACTCAGCAGCCGAAGCGGCTAGAAACATTCACTCAGTTTATCGAGAGGAATGTGTGAATGAAAGAACTTGCAGAAGATGGTTTGCAAAATTCAGAGGTGGAGATTTCACCCTTGAAGATGAAGATCGAACCGGACGTCCAGTTGAGTTTGATGAAATGCTTCTTGAAGCAGCCCTTGAAGAAAATCCTGCTTTATCAGTCGAAGAATTGGCAGTGGTTCTCAGTACAAACCATACAACTGTTCATCGTCATCTTCAGCAACTTGGAAAAGTTCTTAAACTTGGAAAATGGTTGTCTAATGAATTGTCTGAAAACAACCTCAAATCCCGAGTTGACATCTGTTTTTCTCTCCATTCTCGCCAACTTGTTTCACCTTTTTTGGATAGACTTGTGACTGGCGACGAAAAATGGATCTTTTATGGAAATGTTAAGCGTCGTAGACAGGGGCTTCGTAAAGGGGAAGGACCCCAGCCACAGCCGAGAAGGGAACTTCATGGGCAAAAGGTTCTTCTTCCAATCTGGTGGGAACGCCAAGGAATAATCCACTTTGAATTCTTACCACCTAATGCAACAATTAATGCTCAAATATACTGTCAGCAATTAGAGCGTTTGAACCAAGCTTTGAGGAAAAAAGTGAATCGAAAAAGGGGTGATGTTTCATCAGGACAATGCGCGACCCCACACAGCAAGAATCACGTCACAAAAAAATCAAAGAACTTGGTTGGGAGAAAATTCCTCATCCACCTTATTCTCCCGATCTTGCTCCTTCAGACTACCATTTCTTTCGTAGCTTACAAAATCTTCTGCAAGAAACAGCTTTTGTAAGACAGGAAGAGGTTAAAATTGACATTTTTGAGTTCTTCGAATCAAAGCCAAAAGAATTTTACAGTAATGGAATTAGTAAGCTTGTTAATAGATGGAAGGAAGTCATAGATAATCAGGGAAAATACATTGCTGATTGAATCTGTAATTAAATGTAACATTTGGTCACTTGTTTTCTTTATTTAAAATTGGACAGAACTTATGGGATGATATGATATATATATATATATATATATATATATATATATATATATATATATATATATATATATATATATTTGTTGATAGATGTGAGTTTGTGACCCTGGGTTTCACGCTTTAGCGATCGTCAGACAAACTGATTAATTTTTTTAAATTTTGGGTTTATGTAGATTGCGTGTATTGGTGTTATTATGGAAGTGGTGGGGGAAACGTCGTCGTTGTGTCATCGTACTAATGCAAACATCGATGTATGTTCATACGCCTAATGGAGTACGCAGACACATATACATATTTGGTCGTCCGTCGGGACTCATACATATATAAACATATGTTGGCAGTTTCGGATATGACATATGTATGTATACGGGTGGTGTTGTGTCTATACATACGCATTTGTATGTTGAAATTCAGCGGTTTCTAATAAGTACCGCGCATATAATATATAAATAATATATATATATATATATATATATATTTATTTATATTTATATACAGACACTTTTCACACACACACACACACACACACACACACACACACACACACACACACACACACACATATATATATATATATATATATATATATATATATATATATATATATATAGTGCACAATGTCTGTAGCGTTCAATATAAAATAACAGAGCTAATACTTATAGTAAGAATAAATATACATTGGTTCTTTCCTACTTGGACTTTCAACGGGAACAACAATTAAAATCATATCACATGTATCGTGAAGAGAAAACATATGAAGGTGTTTCAAAAGAAAGACGTTCAACAAAAGGTTTGGGTAAGCAATCCCCACTGGAAAGTGTTGGATGATCTTCAGAACGTTTTCTCTAGAAAAAATGCTTCAATCGAAAGATTTTATGACTTCAAAACGACTGTTTGCCCTTTCACCGAATGTTGAATATTTCCTTATAAGGAAACAGCTAAAATTACCATTTTGGGACTGATTTTGCCATTCTTTTTTCCCTGTTACTCTTTCACTTTTTTTATTCAGAATAATTATTTTTCAGGGTTCATAATTTTATCACCGTGGATCAGTGCATTGACTAACTTGGCCGTGAGTTCAATCTCTGGTTAAGTCAGGATAAAAAGTCATATAAGCCGTGTCCGTGTAACGAAAATTTGCATCACGGAGATCAAGAACAAAATAGCTTATCCGAGTTATTTCCCTTTGACACGGACAGCGGAATCAAAATTTCCCGCAAATTTGATAAAGGAACATGTCTGAAATTCGCAGAGCGTTATTGAAGGCAACAAGCAACTGGTTAAGACTGAATGTACACCAGATGAAACTAATGAAAGTGAAAGCATTAGTATGTATAGATTAACAAAACTTTTTTTTTAATTTTTTTTATTTTTTTTTATAACAGGTAAGCGTAGGAGATCATGGCTCTCCGCAGAACTTTTTTTTTTCTTTTTCTTGTTTTTTTTTTTTTTGAATTGCAGAGACGTTTTTAATATAACATGTAAACGTAGGGGGGGGCATGGCTCTCCGTATACCCTTATTTTTTTCTTATTTTTTTATTACAAAGACTTTTTTATATAACATGTAGGTGATGATGGCTGTCCGCAAAATCCCTTTTTTTTTTTTTTTTGAATTACAAAGACTTCTTGGAACAGATCATGAAGTGGTTTACTGTTATGTTCTCTGACTTTTCCTTCTGTTAGGCACTTTTTTCTCTCCTCTTCTTCTTTGAAATGCTAAAACTTTTCAGGCTATACACTGATCACGGCTCGTCCAACACTTTCTTATTATTTACTTATCTTCCCCACGTTTCTGTTCTGTTTAGTTTTTCTAATAATATTTTTACAATTTTTAAAAATATAACTTTATAATTTTAAAAAAATCTTCTTTTTTTTTAACTTTTTTACTTTATCGCTATCATTCCAATTTTCCTTTTATTATGATGTTTTCCTTCTCTGTTGTTGTTCTTTCTTCTTAAATGCTTTGATGTCTGGTCGCCTCAAGCGCCACTGTTTCCAAAGAGCTCGAATCTTTCTTGTGACATTTCTACGGTATCCCCCCCTTACTAGGGTTTTAACATGTTTACTAATGCATTTCGTCAGGAAACTAATACAAATATATGTTTTTTAATCTCATCTTGTTTATCTCCACGCATGCGCAGGTCTTCATAAATGACAAAAAACAGTTTTCGAATAATAACATTTTCAAGGAACGATTGATTCTTAAAACGTCTTCTGGGGTAAGGTTTTCTCTTGATAAAAGTTCAAACTAAGTATTATAAAACGCAATTTCTGTTTATTTTCTGCTGTCTGAAATACAGTATCCATCAGCTAAAAAAAATTCAAGAAATTCTTTCAAGTTTTCTTCAGACTGGCAAAAGTTAAGTAATGTTTACCTTATATAATGGCTCGAGAGCTGCTCCTGGTAAAACGTTTATGAACGAGATGAGTGATTTAAAAAAAGATAGAAAATGATAGTGATTGAACCCGACTTGAAGAGGCTGAGATTATAGTGTGCAGGGAAGCATATATAAGCGAGAGTCTGCTCTACAAATATGAATTTCCCGGGAAAGGCTGTCTGAATGGAACTTCCTTATTACAAATGGAATGCGGAGGAAATGAATGTGATTCGACCGCATGGATATAGCTTGGCGATTCCTTGCTACAAATGTTTGAACTGGTGAAGGTAAAGATTGGATTTAATCTCGACATTTCTGCATCGAAATAGCGATAGAGTATGCAAACGTTACGTCTCTAGAAAAAATAAATGCTGTAAACTGGAAAATACGACATACCTTATAAACCGCTCAAACGATTTTGAACTCGCTCAAGGCTGGAAACTGAGGATTGCGTAGCTCCAGACCAGGCATATCAGCAATACAAAACTTTTGGTCTAGTCTGACTCTTGTAAATATAAAACCTGACAGAAGAAGCAAGGTTACACCCCGAAGCGATGAGCCTATCATCTTATCAGTACCTTTAGCAACGGAGCGGATGGATGTGTTCCACTTGAGGTTTACTGTTTCCATCTTTCTTAAACCGTCACACATCTAAACATTGAACTAAACACCATCTCAACACTGCTCTATACACCACCGAGATACTATCTAAACACCATTTAAACACTCTTCTAAACACCATATAAACACTGATCTAAACGCCATCTAGATATTATCTAAACACCATTTAAACACCCATCTAAACATCATATAAACACTGATCTAAACACCATCTAAAAACCACCTAGATAATATCTAAATACCACTTAAACATCTATCTAAACACCATCTAAATACCAACTAGACAATATCTAAATACCACTTAAACACCTATCTAAACACTGATCTAAACACCATCTAAAAGCCACCTAAATACTATTTAAACATACATCTAAAAACTCGTTAGCTTTTTTATTTAATTTTTGTTTGGCCCGAAATGAGACTTCACATATTACTTTGAATCCTCGGTTCTCGAGCGATCATCGAAGTTAAGCAACGTCGAACCTGCTCAGTACCTAAATAGGTTATCTCTTGTGAATACCAGATGCTCTAAGCTTGGATGTGCGGTTGGTATAATGGATAATGGCTCGGAATTGAAAATCGTAGAGCCGAGTTCAAATTTCAGTCGGGTTCGTTATTTTCACTTAAGTGAAAATAACATTGGACAAAAGGTAAAAAACCACCTCT